GAACGACTTGTATATGATATAGTTGATTCAGAAATCCCCCAACACTCCATGTATGGAATGTGCATGGCTAACCCTAAAGACCACCCCAACTGATCGGCAATTTCTGCTATACTCCTGGAGTCTTTGGGATCACATACGCCGATCCACAGATCAATGCGACCCAAACCGCACGGGCTTGGTCGTGATCCTACCGCCAGGATTGATCAGAAAAGGCCTGGCAGTTTCGACCGTGCCTGGAGCAACCAAAATTTGTCATGGATTCTAGAATCTCATAGCGGGTTCATTTTGGACATCGGTTGGTTCTACGGACAGGTGAGCTACAGTTGGTAGATCGGAGAGTGTTTTTTGTGGATTGTCAAGGATGGTAGCAAGATGCGACAATGCTAGTTCCTACCACTGACGTTTCTCTGTGTGTGTGTTTGCGTGTTTTTTCCCGCATTTTAGCACGAAAACCGATGAAAACCCCGATGGCAGAATTATTACCTGCTGACCATGTTTGCAAGACATTGGTCCGATCTGTGACTTGAGTCCCAAAAACACCGGTCGAAAGGCTTCGACACATGACAGCAATCTCTTCCTGATTCGACGACCTGAGTTATGGCACCAGGAGACCAAGCGGTTGGTTGACCTACCGACCCTAGGTCGGTCGGCCACACGGTCAATGGACTGGTCGGGCTGGTTGACCAATCCCGAATGCTTAGCTTTGCAGATGCTTGCTTGGCTGGAGCAAATGTGCACGCCTGGGCGACAGGCCAACGTGCAACGAGCGTGTGGAAGATTGGGTGAGGCATCGGCAGCTTGAGGCATCGGCGGCATCGCGGTGTGCGCGGTACATAGGCTGGCTTGGTGGGTGAACTAGGCATCTACTTGTAGGTGGGGAATGTCACCCGGACATTCCCGGATGTCTATTTGTTTCCTGGCCTCCTGGTGCAAACCTTCCATGAAGAAGTACAACAGTTGGACCCTGTCGATATGTCCCATCGAACTCTAGGCTCAAATCTGACAGACGATTCTTACGAACACATCTGGCGCACCTTCGAGCAGAGTCCGAGTCTGGGGAAACACGAAGGGACGTTCCAGCGAAGTCCGTACCTTCCTGTTTTGTCGGTTTTTGGTGTGTCGTAGTCTTCCTACACGTCCCTCTACATGAAGGCTAGTATATGTGTAATTAAGTAGTATCATATAGTACAGTAACATGTAACATGTAGTAAATTGTAGCGTAATATACGGCAAAGGTGGGTGCCTTTAAATCCACCCTTGGCCCACGGGGTTCAATGTTTCCACAACGAAATCGTTGACATCGCTTTCGAAGACGATGGGGCAACGAGGCCGACATCCGACATCCGCATGTTTGCAGGTCCACACCAAACTCAACCAGGAATCCTGACATGTTCTTTATCCAATGGTGACCTATCAGGGAAGGGAATTTGGATGAATTTGGAATAACCTTCAGTATCCTTCAGCATGTTCAGTGATAGTTGCTTTAAGCTCCCAATGCACTTGGCAAATCTTGGCAACCTTTGCAGACAACAGGGAATGTTGGGCGCTTTAGGCTTTAGGCTTAGTTCCTGCCTCAGACTTTTTGGGCTGCGACTGATGGAATATTCCCGACATGTCCGAACTCTACAAGGTCTTCCAGATGCAAAGATACGCCCGGATTGGGCATGATTGTTATTGTTCTTGGGACGTGTCCGTGTCAGGGTCATCCTGAAAGGGACAGGATTGGGACACGGATACGGAGAAAGATGGACGGACGCGGACATGCGTGGAATTGGTGGAAGACCGGACGATGATTTTATTTTTGCAATGACCATGTCGTTCGTCTTGGGCCTGCGCGGCCCGATTTCAGGCGCACAAGGAGAAGGTTGCCAGGCGGAAAAGACTGAAGGGGCACGGCCGCGCGACCTCAACAAGACCGTCCGTGAATCTACAGTCCCGTCAAGAACAAGCATGGAAGCTGAGCAGCCCACCTGCTTGGTAGAGGGGAATCGTGGGGAAGCGTCTTTCAGGGGCGGAGAGACGTTGATTTAAACACTCTGACTTGGAAGCGGCAGGATGTGCAAGGTTACATGCACGCATGCTATCGCATGCTGGTTCTGCTATACATGGGTTATGATAGTGGAGATTGATACTCGTTAATTCATCCTTTGCTTTGCTTGCCAGAAGCTCCTTTGTGCAGAAAGCTGGGTGACAGACCTAAAATGACTAAAGAATACTCCCCTGCAGGTTAACATGGAACCCCAAAACCGCTGGCTGGTGGAGGAAAACAACCTTCCAGGGGGCCATTGTCACGGTCCATGCTAGTTTTCAGGTGGGTATATCTTTATAACATTTTATAATGATCTAAATTGATCCATGCACCTATACAATAATCCTTTGAGCATCAGAAGGGGCATCGCGGCATCGCTGCAGTGCCAGGTCAAGATCATTGATCAATAATCAGTGGTCTGTCCGTGTGGGGCCTTACCGTAAGACAGACACGGCAGAATGAGGTTTGCAAGGATTTGGGGGATCCGATGGCTCAGACGTTGATGGTTCATGGATGTCAAGAGCGGAGTGGATCTGAGTTGCCACCAAAAAAAGGTGCGGCGGGTCAACAACAAATATGACTTTAGTTTTCGAGGTCTACGCTAAATCTTGCTTTTTTCAGGAGCCACTAAGCAGGAACATCAAGTTACCGTGAGCGTTTGGAGAAATCCTGAATCACACCCAAGTAGCTTGGAGAGTAGCTAGATTGAAGGTTTTGCCACCTTTACCATGGCGGCTTGGCATCCATTCGTGCGCCGCTCCTTCCAGGAACCTGGCTGCAAGACTGGTAGGTGAACTTAATGGAGTGCTTCCTCACACAGCCGATCGTACAAGAAAGGGGTTCTTCCAACTCACCTTCGACAATCCCGGACAATCCGATCTAATTCCCTTTGGACTACTACATTACAACAAGTAATACTATAGACTCTGCGAACCCTCCACCTCTTTCTTGGTTACCTCATCGACTGAACCAGGACCCTCTCACCACGTGGATCAAAAGCGCATCCGGCACATTTGTCGGTCTCCCGAGGAGAGGAGATGAAGCTGCAGCCCACCCGCAGTCGCAACGCCAAGAAAGAGCAGCTGGCCGAGGCGACGTGGCGATGTTTTTTTCAGACGCGATGTGGGGGTCGGTGATGGAAGGAAAGTGGAAAACATCGAATAAACAAAGCAACTCAAGACATCTTAAGACAGCAAAAATTAGGGATTTAGATGGATTTAGGATGATTTAGGGATTCATTTGGGATTCGCATGTGAGTCCCTGTTGGAAGGGATGTATCTTGGGGCCGTGGCTGTTTTCCCAGGCATCTTAGAGCCTGATCCTGTTCGCCCTGACTTGGTGTTGGGCCTCCTCACAATCACGGGGAACGTGGAACACGTCCATTGTCCTTTTGGTTTGAAGCGACCATGTTTGGAGCTTCCGAAGCCAGGAACGCTACTCGAACATCGAGAAGGAAAACCGAAGACTGCTCACAAGAATGCAGGAGACAAGGGGCAAAGAAGAAGACAGACATGGTATGCACAGAGACAAGTAGTTTGGATGCAAAGGAATTTTCGTTGCTGCGAGGATGGACCAGGCCATGGACCGGCTCATTTTTCCAAGCCCTGTCATGAGGATCCCTAGAGGTCATTGATATTCATTGACCACTTGGTCGACTTAGTCGTAGTACACATGTTCCTAGACGTCAAGCTGGTGGTGATGGTGCTCCATGACCTATAATTTCTTTGGCAAAGGTGCAGGCATGTGCAGATTGCACAGAAAGGAAGGTCATTGTCAGCCTCCGAGGGCATGATTGAGTCCGATACTACAGTTTTGTTCATGCAGAAATATGTCGGACCTAAATGGCCCAAGCTTGATTGTCATTGGATGTCATCGGTCAACCTGCAGCACCTTTTCGTGCAGGGTTGCTTGGAACAGCAAGAGGATATAATATAATATATATATAAATAAGATGATATAAGAGGATTGAACTGTTCAGATATGTTCAGATTTTGGGAAACGGATGCAGATATTAACAGTGAGTTTGTTCATAGTCCAAGCAAACGATCGCCTTTCTGAATTCGCAGTCCCACCAAATGCCCTGAAATGCCGTAAAGATATTGGAGGTTCGCCCGCTCGAACTTCCTATGCCATCCCAGTCTGATCTTGGACCCGTGTGGATATCTGACATATATTGTTAATATTACTATAAGTCGACATAGAGTCGGGAAAAACATAACATACCATGTGCCAAAGCAATGTTCTTTGATGATTTATGGACCTGGTATGCTGTGTATGGACCAAGGGGCGACTGCTTATTCGACGTGTTTTGGTGGGATGACACCTGACAAACAATTCGTGGTTCTTACAGGTATTACATGTTCTTACGAAGAAGACCAGGTATTACATGTTCTTACGAAGAAGACAGGACTCTGGGCTATGAAGGGCTCGCCCAAGCATGTAACAACAGACAGATACTGTATGCATCAGATATGATACAATTGGAAACCATGGGGTAACGGTTCTTAAAGGATTCTGAAGAAGAAGTGACTAAAGTAGGGCGTCACTTCGACTGCCGGAATCTGAGCTGATCTAGTGCAGGAGATCGAGCGAAGAGGTTCGCAAAAGGCTGCAGCCAACTTAGTCTTAGGCCTGCACAGGGGGTTCAGCTGCTGTTCCTGGACTTCCATCCATGGAATGTGGGTCAAGGCTGAGGTTGAAGATGTTGAAGTTAGGGGATGGGCGATGGGGAGTCTATGACTGGTCAGCTTGCGCGTTCGGAGGCCCATGACTTTGGATAACATGAAGTTGTGAGTCTTACCTACACCGTCCAACCTGGCTGCAGGCGTCAAACCACCGCCGTTCAGACCTCAGTGTCCAAAGATTGCATCCACTCTGGTCACCCATCAGAGTTGTAATGTGCTCATAGATATTTTGAGATGTCACAGTTGGACACCCACACCCTATATCCACAACTGCTTCGGCTCAAAACAGGCCAGTCATGCCCACAGACAGCTTGGGCGCCATGTTCCCGAAGGCGCCATTTGGTGCCCTGTGTGCACTGGCCCTGGTGATTCTCTTCCACCTCCAGGGCACCCTCTTCTGCGCGGGACGCGGACCCCGCGACCGCATAATCCGCCGGGCAGAGGGGCTGGAGCTTCGGCCGGGACGTACCCGCTATGTGCCAGGAAGGCGCTTGAAGGGCTGGCGGCCACGGGGGAAGCCATACGACCCGGCGGCAGGAGCAAAGAGTCGAAGGAACATCGGGCAGCTCTTGGTGTTGCTGGGCGCATTGGGGATCATTAGCCGTGAGAGGCCTTCCATTGATGCACTTCCGGACATGGAGGTGGACTCTTCATTGCTGCTCCAAAGCAGCTCAAAGAGCCTGAGTCAAGACATTCCCACAAGTCCGGAGTGGGCGTTTTCAACTCCAGTGATCCAACCTGGCAGCATTTTGATGTCCAGACCTGGAGATTCCTTTGCCGGGCACCAGCAGTACTTCCACAAGTCAGTGGTTTTGATGGTCAAGGATGATCCGGGCGGTGACATGGGCATCATTATTAATCGTCCCACTGGCTTCAACACTCACCAGTTGGGTCTTAAAGGGCCATCCTGGAACATTTGGTTTGGTGGCGATTGCGAAGGCATCCGCGACGCACACGTCCGTGGGATTCGTACCTTTTGCCTGCATGTGAGGGATGACTTCGGTGACCTCTCACGAGAAGCTTGGATTTGGAGTCGCGTTTTGGTAAGCACAGGGTGTCCAGTTGGTGGTGTCAATTGATTTGAGCTACAGCTATGGTCAAACATGTGAAGACCACTTAGTAAAGGGGGGTAGGTTTGTCCACCAAACCAATTAAAACGATATGGTCCACCTCAAAACCGATAACCCCAGCGCTGTAAATTATCATAAGTATGTGGCGAACTCACAACACTGTAAAACGATAAGGTCCAGTTCAAAACCGAAAAAGTCATTTTTCGTTGACAAATACCACAAAGTTTTGACCGTCCCTCATTTCAACCTATATTTGTACAAGTATATATATATATTGTTAATCTAGCACTGTAGACTGAACGTGGAAACCCTGTCCACCTAA